GGTGGACAGGCTGGACTGGTGGACAGGCTGGACTGGTGGACAGGCTGGACTGGTCCTTTAAGTACTTGTTAGGATGGCGTGTTCTGGTAGCTGAGCCGTGGGACGTCCTGTCAGACTGTGTTCCTGGACACATTTGGTTGTAATGAGTCAAAGTGTGGTTGCATCATCTCACCTCCATCTTTGTTTTGTTTCACCTCAGCAGCAGTTACTGGGAGAGTTAAACGAGGTAAACAACAACAACAACAGATTGTGTTGATGTCTGAGAAGATCAATCCACCCATCTTCAGCTTCCTCCTGAAACGCTGCAGGCGTTCAGGTGAACCAGTCGGTAAAACCTTCTCCTGCTTTGTTTCAGAAACAGACCACCAAGTCGGACCCCCTCCCCTCTAAACCCACAGCCTCTCCCGTGGCTGAGGTCCTCACGCCGCCGCCCCCCGCCCCCCTCAGCCTTCCCACGCCGCCGCTGCCGCCTCCGGCCGTCGAGCCCGTCCAACCAGGCGGCGGCAGCGTGGCAGCCAGCAGGCAGAACGGCAGCCCGACCCACGAGAGCGGCAGGAGCGCCGCCAAGGAACCGAGCGGTCGCAGAGACGCCGCCGGCCGTGAGTTTGATTCCCTGCAGCAGTCCGACATGACGAGTCTGACACGTTTTGTTTGGATTGTAACAAAACGTCCTCCTTCACTTTGACGTGAAATTTGAAGTAAAATTCTGAAACTTTTAACGTTTTTCATAAAAGAAAAACAATCAGAAAATGTAAACGTCCTAAACATTGAAATTCTGAAAATGTAGTCAAAGGGATAAATGTTTGTAAAATATTCATAAGATCAATTTAAAAGTGAAGTTTTTTTAAAGTGCTGATGTTTCAGACTTAGTTTTAAATCATTTTATTTTACACGGTGCAGGAAGGTCAGGGGTTCAGGGTTCAAATCCCGGCAGCAGCCTGTCTGTGCACGGTGACATTTTACCTTCAGATTGGAAGCGTCCAGCTGATGGAGGTGTAGAGAACAGCTTGAAGGAGAAAGAAGTCGATGAAGAGTGGACACAAAAACAGGAGGAGGAGGAGGAGGAGGAGGAGGAGGAGGATTGTGAAGAAAAGAGCAATAAAAGTTATGAAGTGTAGAAAGGAACCTGTAACTGATTTTGTTTCAATAATCAATAATTACATGCAGGTTGCCAGAACTAAACCTGTTTGTTTTGTAACTTGTGGTGCTCAGTGAAGTTTAATGTGAAGCTGCATGATGTCACTCGAGTTGGGTTAAAGGGAATGTTCTTCTGTTGAAACGTGCACCTCAGTGTCACCGTAGTTCAGCACAACGGCAACTTGTCTTCCATCCATCCATCCTTCATCCATCCATCCTTCATCCATCCATCCATCCTTCATCCATCCATCCATCCTTCATCCATCCATCCTTCATCCATCCTTCATCCATCCATCCTTCATCCATCCATCCATCATCCATCCATCCATCCATCCATCCTTCATCTATCCATCTGTCATCCATCCTTCATCTATCCATCCATCCTTCCATCCATCCATCCTTCATCTATCCATCCATCCATCCATCCTTCCA